TTAACTTGGTGTTAAGTTCTTTTTCAAAGGTTTTATGGAGCCTCTGGCTTTCCCTTTGCTCGGGTGAATGTCCGCATGGGAGGGTGCAGTTAAGCCACACAGAGCTCACCTTACACACCAATTACAGCTCGCAGGGTCAGCCCCTAGCCAGACTCACAAGTCAGCTGCGTTTGCCTTCTGAGCAAAATACCACTTATTTCTCACAGCTGTATGGCTTTCTACTTCTATTTTCAGCACTCTCTTTTGCCCAAGCACTCCAGGATCTTCAGTTAGAGAGGAAAATAATGATAAAGAGACGTTGCATTATTAAAGACTTAATAACTTCCTTCTCTCTCTTTTTAAGCTTTTTTTATTTATTGAGAGAGAGAGAGAGAGCACTGTCAGTAGGGTCTTCACATTGTGACCCACACTCAACCTCAGACAGCCTGGGGTCACAGACATGCATATGCCCTGTGTTCAGAGAGGACTCCAGACACACACCCAGAACCTCCTCATGCGGGTCAGCATCTCAGAGCATGGTATTTTAATGCTGTGCTACTGTCCGATCCTGATTTTCTACACCACAGAATTGAGTCCAACAGTGCAATAAAATACACATACATACACACAGGCATGCACAAGTGTCTTTCTCTAACTTAAATTTAACTAAAGTTAAACCTGACTTTTTGGAAGAATAGTTTGTGTAGATAATTTTCTTCTTTCATTTTTTAAGGACTATGATCTATAGCTTGCATATTCCTAGACTAATGAGAGCACGCCTCTAGGTCTGTTTATGTTTTGTTTCTTTTTTTTTTCATATTTTCTTCAGCACAAAGAGTCATATATTTTATACCATGCAACAGTTTCTTTCATAGCTTCGGGGCTTTTTAAGATGTGTTCATATTATTTAACAGCTTATGTGGTGATTAGTTTAGTCGTTACATTTTTTATGTACTATCTTTCCACTTTTGCTTTTAATTTGCCAGACAGTGTGTGAGCTCAACAGAGAGAGAGGGAGAGGAAGAAGGAAAGGGAGAAGGTTCTCTCCATGGGGTGTGGTTATTCCATAATTCCTTCTCCTCCATCTCTTCCTTCTTTCGGATTTTGGGCATGTGCACACACCTACCTGCTGTGTTTTTCAATCCACTGAGTCTGAACTCTGTGAACTCTCATGTGAGATCAGTTTCCTTAACTAGCAGGTCCTGGGCTAGCCCATCATACACTGTTCTTCTAATCTTGCATGTAACAGTGTACAGGACTGATTTTCTACATTTGTTTCAACTTTCTTAATACTTCCCACAGGTGATACAGAATATTTGCTTGTAAGTGGTAATAACTAAACAAAAGAACTTGATTAAAATATTTCTATTAATTATATACCATTATCACCTAATTCATGACCTTTTATTAAAATGCATGATCTTTGATCTTTATTCCCTGGCCTTGGTTACAGTGACCTATTGTCTCAATTTGACTGGGACTCCGAACTGTGGCACCACAGACTCTCAGTCCTGGGCAAAGCAGGATGGAGGTCTCTCTTTCATAGCAAAATTTTCTTTACTATGTATCCCCACGCTCTTTCTCCACATTTTGATCCCTCAGTCCCCTGTGAACTCACTATGTCTGGGCTTCTGACTCTATCACTCCATTCACATGGATATTTTAGGAGTCCTCAATGACCTTCATCTTTCCCCAAAGGAGACTTGCCAGTCTGTGACTCAGTGGACACACCATTGGGTTTTCCACTGCTGATCACAACCCTCCTGAAGCTCTTTCCTCCAAGGCTTCTACAGCATTACAGTTTCCAGATCTCTGACTGTTCTTTTAAACTCTTAACCTGGGATATCTCCCTTTACTTGTCCTCTGAAAGGTCATTTTCCCCAAGGCTCTACACTTGGTCATTCTGTTATCACTTCCCAAATCTTTCCCCTGACTGATCTCACACACATGCCATGAACCATTCCCCAGAGGGTGGTGACTTTGAAATCTACACTTTCTATCCTGTGTTTCCTTGTGAGCCAATGACTCATACACACTTTAACAAAACTAGGTTTTTATTATGACCTCTAATGACCTTCACTGTCATCCTCTTCTGCATTCTTATTGGTGTCATTGACAAATATTCACCTATGCTGAAAATCCCAGCCTCATCCTTGATTATATTCCCTCTCAGCTCCATTGAGCAGATCACTGTGTTGTTCCATTTTACCTGTTTAATAGTTCTTAAGTTGGTTCTCCCCCATTTTACTGCCATATCCTAGTTTCAAGAAATTGCTGTCTTCTGTCTGAATCGCTGCTATGTCCTCCAAATCATCAGAGCACTCTCGCTTTCCTTCCGAATCTGTCCTCCCTATGAGTGTCTGACACACGGCACAGACTAAAGTGTCGACCACAGTCCTACTTACACAGCCGTGTACAAGAGACCCCTTTACTATGGGACTTAGCGCCACTGCACGCTGTGCACCAGTTAGCTCCCACACAAGACGTACATCGAATTTGAGAGGAGGGATGCCCTTTATTTAGCTTTGGATCCCCATTCCTTTCTCTGGGCCTGCCCTAGGACATGGCTATATTTCTAATACTGACCAGACAGATATCAGCACAATGTGTTTTTCCCTGACTGCACTCTTCCCTGTCTTTCTTCTAAAGGACTAGGAACGTAGAGTCTGAGTTTATTTACATAGTCCCCAAAGTGCTTCACATGTGGTAAGTACATGCTTAATAACTGGTTACAGAATGAATGAATGACGCATGCTTATACCCTTAGGACAACTGGCTGCTCTAAATTAGTGTTTGGAGACCATTGTGGATGCAAATTAGAAGTAGTTTAAAAGCTCAAATCATTAAAAACAAGCTTTTGAAATGTCTTTAGGTGTAGTTTAGAAAATATATTCCTTTCTAAATATGAGCAATTCATAAAGTACACATGCTACATTCTTCTTTAATGTGTTCACTTAATTTCTCATACCTCTAATAAACGACCTAACCTCTAGAACACAAAGAGGGGACTGCATATAAAACGCGGGGATTTGTCAAGCTTATTTTAAAATAACTGAACAATATATTTGACAATCTTTAAAAATTTTGCATCGGAAATATATACACATTAAAATATTTTTTAATCACAATAATTTGAAGTTATAAAACTGTGAAGAGAATTATGTCTTGTTTGTAATCTTCAAGCACATAATAGATGCTTAAACTACCAGCTTTGTTTTAATTTAGATAAACTTTCAAAAGAAATTTCAAAAGACTTAATGAAATCATAAATATAATTTCTTTATTAATTACTTTCTCTTGAGATGAAAAGAAGAGATTGAAATAATGCTAAGAATATAGAATTTTTTTTATTTTGTTTTCACAGCCTCTTATAGAAACATTTAATGGTCCTTCTGGTATTCTTAGCTCATTTAACTAGTGTGATGAACAGTACTTATATTTGCCAGATGCTTGGTAACTAGAGAAAAAAATGAGGTTTTCAAGATTTTTTTAAAGCCCTCTGATTTTGCTCCAGATATTCTACCAAAAGGTAAAAGCTGTACAGAATAAAAATTATGTATTGAAGTCTCTCATTTTTATTAAAAGTCAATATGTAATACAGCAGAGATGAAATCCTATCATATTTTGAATGAGAAACTAAAATAATCTCTGGTAAATTTAAATTTAAATTTCATTAATATTAAATGAGTTGTTTACGTAACTCAATCAACTCATAATAACAAACTATCTTCAAATAATTGTTTTCTGCTCAAGGGTAGAAGTCTTACACAATAAGTAATGTAATGGGTGTCAGCAGGTGGTGTGGTGGTTAAGGGCGCTGGGCTCCCACATGGCTGACCATGGTTCAAGTCCTGGACCTGGCAGATTGCTTTTACACTTTCCCTTTCCTTCTCTCTCTCTGTCTATCTCTGGTCAAATTAAAAAATAAAATAAATAAATAAATAAATAAATAAAAGAATTATTTAAAAAATTTATTGTAATTTATATGCAGCATGAGGGGCTTCATAAAGGTGCCAGAAGTGTTTGCAGAAATCACCTTAAGTCCTATATTTGTATGTGAATAAAAATATTTGGTGGATATAGTAGCAGGAGGTTCTAAAAACAGCGGAAAAGGGTTACAGTTCTTAGCAGGAGAGAAAGCAAGGAGTTGTCAGGAAAGCTGCAGGTTACTTGGAGACAGTCGTCCCAAGTGCGTTAGAGGAACTATAAAAATTCGCCACAGGAGGAACGATAACCCATAGCCAGAAAAGTTACTGCAGCTTAAACAGGAAACCGTTCTTGTTCAGGACTGTCAGAGTCACAGTTTGCAAAAAGTGCAGCTATTGGTTAATGCAGTGTAGTGTCAATTAGTGCACATTCCTGAGGTCTTTCATCTGTTGTACTTTTCCTTTTCCTTTTTCTTTTCAGTACATTAGTTATATTGCCCTGCATGGTGGTAGTAGTACCAGGAACAAAAAATTAAGGAATTTTTAACTTTTCAATATTTGTGTAGTTCAGTTTTTCTACATTTTAGTACAGAAAGGAGTTTTGAAGGTGTTTCTTCATAGGTTAAGTAAAGATCATTGTTAATTACTACTTTGTATGAATTTTGCTAAAGTTAACTGTAAAGAAATACTTGTTGACTTGCAGTTTTTTAAAGGGAAATCTATTCTTTCCATTTTCAAACCATGATATGAATGAGTGTTGCTATGTGGAGAGAGTAGATATTTGTATGTTTGCCGTGTGTGTTTTAGATACACAGGATTGGGTATTTTAATGAGCATATTGGTGAATTTAATAACATAAAGATTATCTTCAAAAGAAAAATCTCAAAATTCCCCCCCCAAAAAAAAACACCAAAAACCTGTGTACTGCTAATTTTAGTGCTAATTTTTAGAGCTTAAAAAACTTGTCCCAGACTTTCCAATTAAAATAAAAGTACCATGTCATGAGACATTTCTCAGTCCCAGTACAGACCAAGGGCACTGGAGCCTCCTGAGAGATGAGCTGAACTGCGAAACTTGGAGGTAATAGTGCCTTACCTTCACATCATTGGTGTTCATCCTCGTCCCCTCCTTTCCCACAAATATGTCATCAATGTCCACGAGGATGTACCTGTCCAAGGACAGTGTCAGCCTCTTCCCTGATAAGAAGGAGACGGCATCGATGAAGATGAGCTTGTGCAGCCAAAAGTTCAAGTTGTTGCCAAAAAGAACTCGCTGAATTCCATCATGAAGCCCCAGGTCATGGATGATAGTGGCATACAAAGCACCTTTAGAGATGGGAGGAAAAAGGTTTTCTGGGGTCTTTACTTTGGCAAATATTACTGGTTGGTAGGCCGAGTGATTAATCTGAAAAACTGTCCAATCAGCTCCAGGTAAAGAACCTTTTTCAAGCTTAGAAGATTTGGTCACACGAAGCAGTGGAGAATGAGGGTTAATGCAGCAATCCTTCACTGCAAGACTTCCGTATGTGGAAAAGGGGAAACCTTTCAGCTGGAAGCTCTGGAGACTCTTCTCGCTAGCTTTGTGGAACCCAATAATCCCCACACCATATTCGACACAGTACTTATCCAAAAGGCTTCGATTCCAAGAGTCCATATTTATATACTTTAAAATATTCTCATAAATAATGAGACAATATTTGCCTTTAGTTTTGTCTGTCAGTGCTGGAAGATCTCCCTTTCCAGGAGCGATCTCAATGTGATACTGGAATCTACTTGATTCCAGAATCAGAATGATGTCTTGGCCAAGGGATGAGTACTGACTCTCCACAAACACTAAGACTACGGGGTCTGTCCTTGAGGCATCAAAAAACTTGGTTGTCTTCACGTCCACGAGCCTCTCGGGTAGGTGTGGGAGGTCGCCACAGTCCACCTCTGAAGCCATCTCAGAGAGTTCGCTGTCCTGTTTGTAGCCAGTGTACAGGTAGTAAGCAGAAATGAGAATGCTCACCATACAAAAGGTGGCAAGCAGTACCACCGTCCTCTGAAAGTGTCTGTGAAGCTTCATGATAAAACTCATGCTGTATAAGCCCTCCGCAGGCTATTCCAATAGAGGCACCATTCAAAGGTCAAAGACAAAGGTGCGTTCGGGCTCCTTTCCCAGTCTCAGTCAATGGCTTATGTCACCATCGCAGCACATCTGTGTCCCTTGAACAAGACTCACCAAAAGTACAGCCTGAAAAATAGAATAAAATAGAATATAAGACATCCAGTCTGCGGCATTAAAATTAGCAAGCTTTTGTTTTGTTTTGTTTTGTTTTGTATTTTTTTACCTTCTTGGTTGGGATCCTCGCACACAATTAGGTAGATGAACTGGAGTGCAGTAATTTAGAAAACCTCCCTTTCCCTTCTCTAAAATCTGGATGAGGACATGGGAAGGGTGGAGTGAGAATGGGCCCCATTAAACATAGAGACTCTATTCCTAGCATGGAAGGATGTCAGCTAACAAGGGATTTTTTTTCCCTCACTGAGCTTTGGATCAAACTCTGTAGATAATATAGACCTAAAAAGAAGTCACTGAGCCACACACTGCCTTTTCCTGTCACCCAGGTACACATCACATAATGCATACTCAAGCTATTTATGTTTAGTTACATGTACTGAAAGTTCATAAAAGTTTAAACAAACTTCGTTACAAGCCATATTTAAACACTAGTCTTTTTCTTTTCCGAAAAGTCGATGCAATGAATGCTTTTATTAGATTGGTCTTTTCCAAATGTAGGTAGGGTCCCCCAACCCAACTGATCATTTTAGAACTGTATATTTACCTAGTTAGCTTTTTCAAAAATAAAACAGTGATGTGGTGAGATGAATGTGGGAAATAAAACACTTCCCAAGGTTCCTTCAGCTCTGGTGTGAGACCACAGGGCCTCAGGAACTCTTAGGAAGGAGCATATTTAGCTGTGGAGTCATTCTCTGTACCATTCTGTTACTGCTCTTTGGGAAAGAACTCAGAATTTATAGAAAGAGTAGTCTAAAAGTGTTTTTAGAAAATACAGTGACAACTGGCCAAGCCTGACTGCAGTCAGTAGCAAACTGGGCTGCAGTGCTGGAAGCCACGTGGCTGAGCATGGGTCAGATCCCTGGGATGGCTTGAATATATGCCAGACATGCACGTGATCAAGATCCTGAAGGATCCTTCTGGGAAGTGATTTCTCACTTTCCTTCTTTCTGTCTCTGTCTCTCTCCTGCAAGTACAAGAGCTCTATGGCAAAAATCTAAAAATTAATTAATTAATTTAAAAAATATCCTGAAGAATTGGAGGGCTGGGGAAAGGGGACTGCAGAATGATGAAATCCTGTAGCAGGTCTTCCCTCTCTCTCACTCACCCTCTCCAGGGCACATGCTTATGTCTTCTATCATGAATAAAATAGAATTAGAACAACTGAGGGGCCAGCAGTTGGCATGGTGGGTAAGGGCACTGGACTCCCCTATGGCTGACTGCAGTTCAAGTCCTGGACCTGGCGGCTTGCTATCTCATTTTCCCTCTTTCTCTCTCTCTTTCTCTCTCACTCTTGCTCTCTCTGGTCAAATTAAAATAACTAATTAACTAACTGACTAAATAAATTAAATTAAATTCTTCTTAAAAAATAGAACAACTGAGATTTTACAGGGCACTTTTGTTATAATTTCAAATCCTTTTTAAGTCTTAGTAACCCTAGAAAATTTAGTAACTTTGAAAAATAATAAGAAAGAAACATGGGTATTTCCGAGAGGAAAAGTTTATTAACGTCTATACTCTTGGCACTTTCAAAACATATCATGAATCATCTATCTTTATGGTTTACGTAATAGTCTTGACTGTAACTTCAAGGTACTTATAGGATACACTATTTAAAGGATCACATCTTTTAAAAAATTGAGGGAAGTTATGTTATTGTCCATAAGGCAAGCTAAAAGCTAGCTGGTAAGAGAACTAGCACTGTATAGTGTTTGAAGTTTGTCGTAAGATTGGGGTTCTTGGGGTTCATCACACCTCTGTCTCTTACTAATTTTGACCCATGTGCCCTCCAAGTAAAATGATGAGGTTAAAATGAGTGATAACAAGAACATTCTGGATCTCAAATTCGGTGATATCCATTCGTGAATTATGCAGTGAGTAATATTTTAAATGGTATAAGCGTCTATCTTTATGACTTACATATTATTCTTGACTATAACTTCAGGGCATTTATAGGATACACTATTTAAAGGATAAGAGTTATATATTTAATGTATTCATTCAAATATTTAGGGTGTCTATGTCATCCATTCAAGTACTTATGGGGTAACTATCTTTCTATTTAAAAATGTAAATGTTGAGCATAGTGAATTTCGTGAAAAGGTTCTTACTTATAAAGCAGAAACAGTGACTAGACTGTTGTGTGGGCTGTGCGTTAGAGACATGGCTGTAATAGAATGAGAGGAGAGGGAATGGCAAGCGAGCGTCTGCACACTGCTGGTGGAGGGGTAGGCGGTGGGTGGAGCTGGGAGGACACAGAGAGCGGGACCATACACTCGAGACAGGGCCAGCAGCAAGCACAGTCCTGGCCAAGGGATACCCATGAAGTGTGGGAGAGAAGCCTAACAAACCCTTAGACATAAACAAACCTGACTCCACGCAGGTCACGTAGACCATGCAGAGAGGTGACAGCACAGAACTTAGCAGTCGTGAAGACACATTTCAGTTTCGTGATTAGAGGCATAACGTACAAGTAAAATTTTTCAGGACCAAGGTTAATTAAGAACAGGGAAGCTGGAACCAGCAGTTGGTGTAATGGCTATGTCGCTGGACTCCCATGTAGTCAGCTGCAGTTCAAGCCCCAGACCTCGTGGCTTAATCTCACGCTGGGCGCATGTGCGTGCATGCCCAAGATCCTGAGAGGGATTGCGGTGTGGCCATTGTCCCTGGGGGGTCATTTCTCACTTTCTGTCTCTCTCTGTCTTTCTGGTGAGCTCACATGCCCTATAGCAAAAACCTCTCTAAAAAAGAAAAAAAAAGAAGAAGCTATCATAGAGTAGACTCAGAGACTGAGTCCGGCAAGGCAGTGCTGGCATTTCTCATCATGTGGTCATGAACTGTTAATGATGACAGGTAAAGAGGAGAACAGGGAAGGCGTAAGTCTGAGCAACACTGCAGAGAAAGGGGAAGGGAACCTGGGACACCGTATGAGGTCTGTGGTGCAGCCTCCCTCTGCCAGGTAAAATGTCATTGAGCAATCTGACATGCTTCAAAATCAATGTCAGATGAGGGCTAACATTCTATTCTTTTAAATATTCCAGAACATGTCTAGGTGTTGTTTAAGAAAATAAAATGACCTGGATAACAGTTTTCATTATGACTGTAGCTATTGATATTTCATTTTGATAAGTACATATGCCCCTTTTTTTTTTTTTTTTTTTTTTTTTTTGATAAGTTCTTGTTCCCCTTTTTTTTTTTTTTTTTTTTTTTTTTTTAAGAAAGAGATTTTTTTGCTATAGGGTGCATGCACTCACCAGAGAGACAGAAAGCAAGAAATATCACCCCTGCTCCAGGGGGCATGGACGTGCAGCAATCCCTTCTCCTCCATTCTCCTCTTGGGATTTTGGGCACACACGCACACGTGCCTGGTTTGAGGTTTAAGCCACCGAGTCCGAGACTTGAACCACAGTCAACTATGGAGGAGTCTAGCAATGTAACCATTATGCCATTTGTTGGTCCCAGTACTTGTACTTTAAAAAAAGTTTATTTTACTTTTGGAGAGGTTTTTGCTATAGGGCACAGGTGCTCGCCAGACCAAGAGAGACAGAGAGACAGAAATGAGAAATCACCCCCCAGAGGGGATGGCCATGCTGCAATCCCTTCTCCTCCATTCTCCTCTTGGGATCTTGGGCACACATGCACATGCGCCTGGTGTGAGTTTAAAGACACCAGGTCCGGGACACAAACCATGGTCGATTACACGGGAGTTCAGCGTCATAGCCATTATGCTAATTGCTAGTCCGAAAAAAAGTTTATTTTACTTTTTTCATGAGAGAGAGAGACAACCTTCTCTACAGCAATACCTCCCTCCCCAACCCCACCAGACCTCCAGTCAGCCAGGATCACAAGGGCATGTGTGTGTATGCCTGGCGTGCTCAGTTCAACCCAGGATCTGAACTCCAGCCCTACGCATGGCCTCCAGCACTGCAGAATGGCACTATCCGTGCCACTACGGCTGGGCCAGAGGAGCTGTGCTTGGAAAGTTGTGTACGTGTGTATGAATGTAAATTCTGGAGCTTAACAGCAGGATACGAGATCTCACTTCTTCCATATCTATGTTTCAATTTTAGCTGTGAAGTGTTTTTGATGGTATAGAAAATGTATTGCCACACTTTTCATTTCAAATAGCAGCATTTCACAGTTTGTTCCTATTGTCAAAAGTGAAATACATGTAACTCATGGAATTCTTAGCTGTGATGAGGCAGAGTGGGAGGAGAATTTGCTCTCACTGTTCAGGACAGATATTAGAACACATTGAAGTTGCCTTCTCTGTTAGCAAGTATAAGATATTGAAGGGCATTTCTTTCCCGTTAAACTCTTCATGTTTCCCCTAAAGCCAAAGAGAATTCTATTGTATGTCCCTGAGGATAGAATTGGGTCTAACATACGTAAATGGATATATTAAGATTCTTGTGGTTTTTATAAACCTTTTTCAACTGTACATCTCACTTTGCTATGGCCAACTTCAGTCTCTGCTATGGACGCTCAGAACCTGCTCTTCATACTTCAGTCTCATCCACAAATAGCTGCTTCTCACTCTGTGCCATTTCTGTTAGCTCTGAAAACCCCAGGGTGAAATCACCTGTTGCTGTCACTGCGTATCCTACAGGGGACGCCACTGTAGCAAGTGCTAGGCAGAGGCAAAGGCATAGCCTTCTCCTGCACCCTCCACTGGTGGGGTGGCCCTGGGGCAGGTAGACGTGCATAATTAAGCTTCTCAGCAAATTCCGTGAAGCTATCTCTGACCTTCCAACTTTGGTCAGATTCAGCAGGCTCACATGGTCATAGTGAAAAGGACCTTTCCTTTGCGCTTATTGACACAATTATAATTAAAATTTTATTTAAAGTCAATCTCTCCATCTGACTGGAAGCTCCAAGAGGGTAGAAATAATACCTGTTTTGTCTACAAGACACCCATCATACCAGGCACAAAGTAACACCACTGGCTA